TATTGTATGCGTACAATCATTTCAACCCTTGGAGGATGTACGATTGGTAATAGCAAAAGTGCTCAAAACCTACGATGTGGCATATGCAAAACCCAGGTCTCTCTTGGAGAGTCTGACCTGACTTTGGGGTTTGCTGCCAGTGCTGTGTGAGGACGGCGGGCATCAAAATAAAGACATGCTTCAACTTGGAGAACCCAGTTCTCATCCGTTCACCGGTGTCTTACAGCAACTGATAGAAAGTACGGGCAGTCCTCAACTTACGATGTCTCGAGTTACGATGTTTCGCATATACAGCGTCTATAAATGGACACCCTGTTTCAACTTTCTGACGTCAGTTTCGATTTTACAACGCTTGATCCGATGTGACACCACGACAGAGAACAAGTCGCTGTCACCCATCTCCCTGGAGAACATCTGTCCAAACTTTCTTGGTCACTTTATTTAAGAAAGCCGACAAGACTCCAGAAAAACCTGCAGCCGAAACTCTTGAGAAGACTCCAGCCGAGAACCCGTCAGAAAGTCCAACCAAGAGTCCTTCAAAAAGTCCAGCAAAGTCACCTCAAAGAAGTCCTTCCAAATCAATATGATTGCTATTTACGATATAAATACAGTAATGTTACTCATCTATAATTGATTGAGTACAAAGTTCTTGGTTATTTTGGGTGAAAACGGGGTATCGGGCCTTGGTTCAGGAACCAATCCCCCATTTATAACATTGCTTCCTAGAGGAAAATGGGTTCCGAGTTACAGTGTTTCAACTTAAGACACCATTTTCAGGAACCAACTGTGTTGTAAGTCCGAGGACTGCCTGTAAAGAAGAGGATTTATTTACGTATTTTTTCTGTGTAGGGTTCAGCAAATGCAATAATTTTGAGCTTCAAGTACAGTAATTTCATAGTTAAGACCTGGCAACACTTCACAGCCTCCCTGTGCTGCCCAGCGGTGTGTGCATCCCCACTGCAGGTGTGGGCCAGGGTGCAGCCTGCCTCTGCCCCTCCTGGGTACCCCGATTGCGGTGCCAGCCCAGTGTTGCCAGGTCTTAAATATTAAATTATCATATTGGGAGCCCAAAAATGATCGTCTTTGCTGAAAAACTATTGTACCCTGAAAAAAAATGGAAATGAGTCTGTAAATAAGTTGTTGTCTTCTTTACTTTCTATTGGTTGCTGTAAGATACCAGTGAGTGAGTGAGAACTGGGTCATCAAAGTTGAGGCATTTCTTTATTTTGAGGCCAGCTGTCCTAAGAACGTGCTGGCAGCAAACCCCCAGGTCAGTTCAGACTCTCTGAGAGTGACTTGGGTTTTGCGTATGCTGCATGAATGAGCTACCTCAAATTATCGTACTTTTTGAACACTTTTACTATTATTGATCATACAGGGGTTGAAATTATCATACAAATACGGTAATTATCGTCCACCTGGCAACACTGCCAGACCTGCCTGCTTCCTGCTTCTGTGCCCAGTGCCTCTGCAATGCACCTGCCCTGCCTGTAGCACATGCTCTCTCTTGACTTGTGCTCCCCCTTCTCTTTCTGCATCCCTGCTGCTCCCCAGAAACATGCTTGAACGTTGAGGGAAGGATTTGCTGCCCCTCAAACCACAGTTAAAAAGACACCCCCCTGCATGCAGTTGAACAGGATGGAGGCAGAGGGGAGCCTGGGGCTTCAGGGAGCTCAGTCCCATCTCTGCCAGATGCCAAAGTGAACACACCTCACAGGAAACCTTGTGAGGGGTGACACATCCTGGATTTTCAGTGCTGATGTAATTGTGTCCCAGGCTCTGGTTTTAAACAGCCTGTGAACAGTTAGCATGTGAAGTTATGTCCCAAGGTTGCCTGAATGCAGTAAGACCAAATGTGTTCATTATGTTGTGTGAATTGGACCAAATTGGGAAGGAATCTAACAAAGTAAGGAAGAGAGAGGGGATTAGCTGGGCTAGTTTGACATTAGGCAGAAGGCGAGGCAGTGTGGCACCTCTCTGGATGGCTGTCAAGCCACACTGCCCTGCCTTTGAAGTAAGGAAGATTGTAGCAGACTTGGTATTTCACATCTGTTTCTGGTATGTAAAATATGAAGAGCCTTTGAATGCACTGGTTCATTTGATCCAGTATGGGTATCCCTAGGTTGACTTTGAAGAGGTTATTAGTGGGCCAGACTTTATTCCCTCCAATTATACTACAACATGATGCCATTGCAGGGTAAATTGAAAGGTGAGGTGAATCTGTGTAGCAATGTAAAGGTGAACATGCTAGTTTCAGCAGTACTTGGTAAATAGAGCTCTGTGTGTCAACGGAGTCGGAAAATCACTTGTCCACTGGTGAGTAGGAAGCTTTCCCTCTGTGAGCATAAGACGTGTGGGACCTACAGCATGAGCTATATAGCAATGTGAGTAATAGTCATACAAAGTGAAGGACTGGTAAGTTTAGTTCTGCTATTCAGAGCTAGGCTGGCAACTGAGGAGCTGGCAAGAATTGTTCTGGTTTCGGTTTGAGGTTGCAAGTTGCTAAGCTGATTTAAAAGCAGGTAGAGACTAAATAAGTCCATGCATAGTGGAGGGCAGGGGAGCAGAGACCCCTCCGGAGTTATCAAAAACTGTGGACTAGAGGTGGAAAGTATGTTCCTTCTTCCTTCCAGAAGATACAAGGAGCAATGGGCACAAGTTGATGGAGAGGAGGTATAGATTGGACATCCGCAAGAACTACTTCACAGTTAGGGTGGCTAGGAGCTGGAACCAACTTCCAAGGGAAGTGGTGCTGGCCCCTACCCTGGGGGTCTTTAAGAAGAGGCTGGATGCCTACCTGGCTGGACTCATTTGAGTCCCGTTTCTCTTTTTGGGGGTTTTTTGTCGTTCTCCGGCCCTGGCGGGGGGTCGGGCTAGAAGATCTACTAGGTCCCTTCCGACCTTTAATCTATGAATCTATACTTGGGGGAGATGCCAGAAGATCCCTGGGAGGAGAAACAGCCTTCAGTTCTGCCAGACTTACTGTCTAGAGACAAATATAGAAGTGAGGACCTCTGAACAGGGTCCTAGAACAGCACAGCTTTGACAATCGGAGTCATATTTTCTGTTCCAGCAGCTGGAGTAGAGGCTCTGACAGGTGCCCTCACCCTCCTGTTTTGTGTTGGCTTCTGGCTGTCAGGTGTCTGTCTGGCTTTTAATATCTGGTGTGTTCCTACCCATCATACTTGCTTTTTGCATTTTGAATAATACTGAATACATAGAAGGATATTAAATATTCTAACTTTTGTAACACATACTAGAGCTAATACTACAGCTACCATTCTTATTTAAGACCATATGATGTCTATAGACTGAATTGAGTTGAGAAAGTTCATATTTTTTTTAAAAGAGGAGTGAATCATTCAGTCTCCTTGAATGTTCTAGGGAGATTGTCACAGTAATTACTTACTTAAGGTGGGGCAGGTTGAATGACCTAATTCCTAGAAGAGATTAAGTCATATCAGAGAATTTCCAATTCATCCTAAGCAAAATTCCAGCTGTGAGCACCCTAGTCCCTCCCTGAAGCACTAATCAAACCGTTGACCTGGAAGAGTAGGAGATGGGGCCTATGATGGGAGTTAGCAGAATGGCATTAACAAGCTTTTTGATGATGATCATTTAGACTCTCACTCATTGTTGCACCCTTGTTTTACTGGCATTTCCAAAGGGGTGGTATCCAAATCCCATTCACTTTGGGGTGGTATTCTGGCCCAGTACAAGGGAGTGTGGTGTGTGCAGATTTGCTTTTTGTCTGCCCATAGTTTTCTATTTTATCAACAGAAATGCAGTTTTTACTGCTGCTTGCAATTCAGTAGAGAGGCTTTGCATTGAGTGGAAACAAACTCATTCCCATATTGCTACAGGTCTGAGGTGCAGGGAAGATTACACTGTAGTGTTTCTGTCAGTAAATTGAGGATGCTGGTATTAATCTGGTACTTTTCCTAGTGTTAAATACACTTCAAACAGGCTAACTGGAAATCTTCTCTTTTGTAGCAATTGTTTGTTTCGAGCACTTGGTGACCAGCTGGAGGGACATTCCCGGAACCACCTCAAACACCGCCAGGAAACAGTGGATTACATGATAAAACAGCGGGAAGATTTTGAGCCTTTTGTGGAGGATGACGTTCCCTTTGAGAAGCATGGTACAGTCCTGGTGGGATACTAATAGAAGAGGCTATTTTTCTGGCCCAAACCTATATTAAGAGTCTCTCTACATTCTTTAAATGTCATTTGGTTATATCATGCCAGAGTTTTCTCCACCAACAAATTTCAGGGGAATAATGGGATGCTAGAGAGGTGAGCATTTGCCTGACCTTGGAGTATATTCAAATTGAGGTCAAGTGTGGAGAAGCAAAAAGCTGGGATAGTTGAATGAAGCCTAAGTAAGTTCAGTGCCTAGCTCCCAGAACACTTCAGTAGGCATTGACTGCTGAACTCCCTTGGGTTCCTCTGAAATTTTCATTCTAAAATTCTCGGCTTTAGTGTGGTATCAAAATTGAAAGGTTGATATTGGTTGCATTGAATAATGCAAAAGAAAAAAGAATAAAAGAAAAACAATAAAAAACATGGATAAAAGAAAAACAACCCTATATAGACTTGCTATGAGAGCCTGTAGAAACCACTGAGTAACGTGTGGGAAACTGTTTGGAAGATAGAGAGAAGACTGCTGTGTACTCAAACCTACAGCCGAGCTGATGACCATGCATGGTTTTAGGGGAAGCTGTTCTGCTAGAGATGGTGATCCAAGACCGCTTAATCTTTTATCTTGGCCAGTTTCTAATGGGTAATGCTATGCTTGCTGGTAGGGCTTGCTTTCCGTTGTTTCTCAGGGTTGTTGCTCGGGTTGTGGTTTTCAGGTGTGTTTGCAGGCGGCAGCCAAGTGCCTAACCCCTTCTATATCTGTTCTCATCTTTTCCCTAGTCTCCAATTTGGCGAAGCCTGGCACTTTTGCTGGCAATGATGCTATTGTGGCATTTGCAAGGAACAATCAAATGAATGTAGTTATTCATCAGCTCAATGCTCCACTGTGGCAGGTAAGAATCAAAGCTAAGCTTTCCTAATTTGGCCTTGCTTTTTGCTGGGTAGTCTAGATAGTGTTAAAATTTTCTGTTGTTTAATGCAAGGCAAGGATCTATGTGGTTGATACCTTTTGTTGGACTAACTGCATGTTGGGAGGTTTATGGACAAGTTTTTGGGTACCAAGCTGATATTTAATGTATTTTTAAGAGGGAATCCTGAATCTTAGATATTAGTCTTGGCATAATTGTGAATGACTTCAGCATCCCACTCTTCCTTAATTATGTAAATGAGGTAAAGAACTTTAACTGGGGTAAAAACAAAGTTTAAATGTATGAAATGTGAATATGCTGGAGCAGATCCTTCTCCCTCAAGCTGACACAACTTCCTTAAAGTTGGTTTATACCACTAAGTGTGAGATCTATGCATACTGGTAGCTGCTTTCAGATTAGACTGAGGTAAGTCTGGTGGAGGCTTTCAGCGCTGTTGAGTTTTAAGTGGGATTGTTACAACAATGTAGAGAATGATGGGGATCTTGTTTGTGAAGCTTAATTAGTTCTTTATCAATTTCAGGAGAAAAAGCTAATTTCTAACCATCTGGGCAGTGAAATTTACTGAAAGTGCCTTCCAACAGGGCTAGTAAAGGCAAAAATGCAAACTGATTTTAAGATGCAGTTTGATCAGTTTGAGGCATGAAGAATATCATGGTCTGTGGTAGCTTAGGACTGCATTTGGTGGCCTAGCAGGTCCCTACCATTTGTGTGTTCGTACTGGAAAAGCAGTCACTTAGAAAGTCTTTTTTATGTGTTCAGAGGTGCAGCAAGTGAGCAGGCTACTTCAGTCCAGGATGGTTCATCTGTTATGTCTCATTGGTTATAAAGAAATTGCCTCACTTCACAGCCAGCACAATGAACTGCACAGTTTTTTTTTTTTTGGTTTGACATCTATGTAGATGTCAAAGAAGAAACATGTTGAAGGTCTTAATGATGTGTTAGCACAGGGGTGGGCAAAATGCAGCCTGGGGGCCAGATGTGGCCCGCCAGGCCATTCTATCAGGCCCATGCGGCCCCTAAAAAATTTAGAAAATTAACATTAATCTGCCCTGGGCTGCCTGTCATGTGACGCTTGATGGCTTGCTGAAACTCAGTAAGCAGCCCTGTGCCCAAAATAATTGCCTGTGTACTCTAGTATGCTATTGCATAGACTTCAGAACCATAAAAGAACCAGGTTAACTGTCCCTCACGGTAAAAAAAAAGCTCTGTTCCGTGTTAAATTTGATAATTGTGAAAACAAGTCAGCAGGAAGAATGTTCAACTTCTTGACCCCGCAGAGCATACAGAGGTAACTGCTCTGCCAGAATTCATGGAAATGTTACTTGCATTATTGTTTTGAACTGGATATTCAAGTTAATGTGCTCTTATCTGTACTTTGTGTGTCACTTCAGTAACCTCCAGCTGTTTCCCTTGCCCGCTGACCTTTTCAGTGCCATAATTACAGGGCTTATGAGAGCCCAAGTTTTGCATGCCTGAATGTAATGTTGGTGAAAGGGATTAAGTTAATACCCCTAGTGATGGAAGTCCCTAATCACAAAGCATATAAGTCAGGGTGGGGGGAACACAGTCCACTCGCATCCATCATTCTGCCCCAACCCTCCTCCATAGGGGCTGCCTTTACAGATACTCACTTTCCTTGTCCTGCTTGAGTCCTTAGTGTTATAAGAATTACCCTTAAATGCAAAGCAACCAAGTGAAAAAAAAATCTGAGTTGAGTAAGAGTTTGAGGCTTTTAACTCAGCTTAATACTTAATGCATTTGTCATCTGATCCAAAGCTTATTAAAATCAGTGAGTTCTGCCTATTGCCTTCCTTGGGTTTTGGATCAGCTTTCTTGGTTTACTTTAAAAAAAGAAAGGCTTCTTGAGTTGCCTGTTGTACCTGTGGAGTTAAAGGGTTTGCTTTGTCTCCATCAGTGCTTTGGTCATTTTCCTTTGTTAATGAGAGCAAAATAAATCAGTCCATTTCCACATGAAAACTAGCATCTTAATTCTTCCTTTCTGGGTAAAATTGTGATGTGGTTGCTTTCTGCACTTAGTTGCATGTTCCCTGCAGCAGACCTCTGATTTATAGCTTGTGTAAGTTGCTGGAGAGCTCACATGGAGGCCTTGCTAAATTAGAATTAACGCCACAAAGAAGGAAATCAAGCAAAATGGCAAAATATGCTTTTGGAACTGCATGCCTGTGCTCCTATAATGGCAACCACCTGTCAGGCTGATGAAGTATAAAAACTAAATCGTGTTCCCATCCAACATACTGACTTCCATAAACATGAAAGGAGAGTTAAATAGAAGTTGTTGACTTGAAACTTGAAGGTGAACAAGTTTAAAAAATTTAAATAAATGGAGAGAACCTGTATTTGAGATCTCAAATGATTAACACAAGACAAATGTGTACACAAGAGTGGATATAGTTTAAAGGTGAGTGGTAAATATCTTTAGCTATAAAGACCTGGGTTCAAAGAACTGAAAGGATTGGGAAACTGCAGAGCCTTAAACCACACAAGAACCTTAAATCATTCTTTGTGCTGCTTTGGGTGATGGGAGTCATCTGTAACTCAGGCCTCCATTCTCCGAACTCCAAGCTGACAGGTGAGTAAAGCAGGCTTACAAAGACTCAGTTATGAAAACATCTGTGTAATTCTCTATATTTCATTGCAAGAGTGGAGACGTTAAGCAGTGTTTTATATGAATGTGTAAGTAATTTCATTTATCCAGACACCCTGATAAAGGAGTTATCCTAACATTTTGTTTCATCAGTAAATACAGATGACTCTTTGGGTAGACAATTGCTAAACTTTGAACTGATATAGTAGATGAACATTGGGCTGTAAACAGTCCTCTGAAATTCAGTTACCTGATTCCCACAATTGGCATTTGTCTGGGTTTGCAAATCTACAGTTAACTCCAGAAAATGTCATCTCTCGTTGCAAATTTTATGAATGCCATCGTGTCACACCTGTGAAAGATTTTTTTTAAAGCAATTCTTGTCCAAAATAGTGAGATCTTAGCTGGTCACTCTTAACTAAATACTGCCTAACCATATTTTGTCATTTTTAAGGAAGAATGTCTTTTAAAAGGAATAGGAACTTTATTGTGATACTTTCTCTTTTCATTGAAAATTTAGGGAGGTTGCCAGGGAACTAAAGCACTCTTTGTGAGAAATTTTAGAAGATTAAAAATGTTGCAAGTGGTTTTAATGGAAATTAAAATAAGTCTCCTGGCCAGTGGTACTTAAAGATTAAATCTACCAACACTACACTTCTAAAGTCGGAAGAACTGAGCGTTGATTTTGCTTCCCAGCACCGCAGTTTGTATATGATGGGTGATACTATTTTTGGTATGTTTGGGGGATTTGTTAACATCACCTAATTTAAAGGTGCTCATTAGCCACCTGAGAAGCTTCTCAGGGCAATGTTTGCATTGTTCTTATGCACTACTGGAAAGATCAAATGCTCTTCAAAATATGGAGCTAAAGTTGGTGCAACTTTTGTCCTCATTGAAAATATTTCTATCTTCTTTAGATCAGAGGCACAGATGAAAGCAATGTGAGGGAGCTTCACATTGCCTATCGGCATGGAGAACACTATGATAGCGTACGGAGAATCAATGACAACTCTGAAGCTCCGGCTAATCTTCAAACAGAGGTTGGTGGTGACAGAATGACCTGTGAAGTCAGCTCTGGAATTTGAAGATGTGGGCATATGTTTCTTCTCACCAGTGTCTTGTTTTTAGCACTGGTAAAGAGAGAATCTCTCCCCAGAGTTACAGTTTTACAGTTAAAGAGTTACAGTTTTCCACCCTAGCAGCCTGTTTCAACAGTGTTCTTAGTTTGCTGGACTGTGATCCAAGATTTGCTGAATTCTAGTCCTGCTTCTGATTTGAGAGGATGTCCAGGTATCTCTGAGTAAGCCCCATGTCAGCCTACTGTGTGTGCACACCTGTATACATTGAAAATCAAGAGGGGGTCAATACAGGTAATAGTCTTACACTACAGCCTGTTCTACCTGTCATTATGAAGGGTTAGACTGAGCTGTGCAAGAATCAGTCTGCATGTAATTGTACAGTGTGCAATGATGTTAACAGTTTCAGAGAATCTAGCTATTGCTTATGTTTGTGATCCTGTAGTATTAATAAGAGTTATGGGAAACAGTGTAAAAGACAGTAAAAAAATTATTTGGTTTCAAAGACCTATATTAAAAAAGGAGCTTTGAGGAAAAGGGCTGTGATTATAATAGCTAAGGTCACTTTGCTGCTGGCACTAGTTTCCTTTTGTCCATCTTAAAATGACTGTGTTTTCCTATGCTCTGGGGTCTTGTCTTGACCCATGCTGATCCATGTGCATCTTGCTTGTTATTGTAGATGCTTTGTAAAAATGAAACAAATAAGAAGGAGAAAATCGAGCCAAAGAAGGATGAATCTGAAGAGGAGGTGGAGGATGAAGTAGAGGATGCTATTCAAAAAGTTCGCAATGCAACTGGGTGTTCGGTCAGTATTTAGTATTTTGTGAGTAATATGCAAAATAGAGAGCACCCATTGTTACGTGAAGATTGACTTGAGAATGGTTCACTGGCTGATGCTCTTGGGCAGCTTTAGTGCCAGAGCCACAGATCTGGATATACTTGCTAATACAGGTAGGCTAATTACAGGCAAAGCATGTCCCTTTTATGAGTGACTAGTAATTTGTTTCTTTATTTATGTGTTGACTTTGTCATTTCCTAGAGGAGCCAGATTTTCAAATATTGCTGAGCTCCATTTTGTGAACCTGGGGCCCTTGTCAGAGGTCTCAGAAAGACACCCAAAATCACTAGGTAGTTTGACAAACCTGGGCCATTGTTACTAAATGGCTGTATTTAGCAGCTGCACTGCTCCTGCTAATAATGCCTTGAAGCTGACTGAGAACAGGGCCCATTGTATTTAGTCCTGTACAGACATAGGTCAGGGACTGTCTGTTACTCTAAAGGGCTGTATATGTGCAGGCTTGACCTGGCTCACTGTACTGGTCTGCCATGATCTTTGGGTTTCCATGTCTTGGTGTAGCTCAAACTTATTGCTGTTGTCTCTGGTCTCACAGCAAAAAAAAAAATTTACAGGGATTCCAGAAACAAAACTAACTTCTAGTCAGAATGGTGTAGCTAACTGTACAAGTGTCCTCACTAACAGTGGTTCAGAATCTTTCCAATACATGTGTCCTCCTCTCTCTCTTGTGGATAGGATCTACATTTCATAAGTCAGATTCTAGAAGTGGAGAACTACAATATTGATTCTGCAATATTTGCCATTCTCCAAGTGAATGAAGTGAAAAGAATCAGTAAGTAAGCAGATCTGTTACCTTTATCCTTTTGAAAAATGCCCCATAGACCACATTAGAGACATTCCTTAAACATGAGACTCATATAGCAGTAGCAGAACACACATTTCTCTTGGCTGTCCTATTGGTGTATGTAAGCCATGGCTCAGAAGGATAACCTCTTACAGGATGAGGGTGAACTTCCACTCCCAGTTATTTTTTGGTGACTCTGCTGACGCTTTCAGTATGGTGACGGTTGTGAAGCTGGTTTTAGCGACTCTGCTATGAACTGGAGTCAAACAAACAATTATTTTCACAAAAAAACACTTAACACATGTTACTGCAACCAATCTGGGATGGATTTGTGGTGATAGTACAGAGTTTAAAGGGTTCAAGTTACCAATCCCTTGAGCCATTCAGCCCCTTAAATAAATGGATTTCCAATGCTTATTCACTCATCTCCCCACTGAACCTAATCCATCCTGAGCCTGCTGTTGGGATGCTGGTCTCTCTTCTGCCACCTACCACTCTTCTTATCTTTTTCACAAAGCTATTACAAGCACATTTGGGTAGAAATCAGGTTGAAACTACGAAGAGGAAAAAAGACCCGTTGTGTGCAGGGTCCTTCTTTTTACTTTGCAGTGGGTTGTACTTCATGGATGGGTTACTGACATTTTTACAAAGAAACCATACTTATAATCATGGCTGACGGCCTACAATAAATCTGGTAACACTTTGGCATGATCCACTCTTGCTTAGAGCATCTCTGACCGAAATCTCTTGTATCGGTAGATGCAGAGGAGCAGTGTGGTTCCCAGGCCAAAGGTCAGAAGCCGCGTAGCTCAGCCCTGTGGGAGGAGAATGGGAGTGGCAGTAGAATCTTTGGAAATCAGGGTTTACCTCCAGGTGGAACAGAAAACAACAAGGCACAGGTTAGACCTGTTGAAGAGACTCGAGCCAGCAAAAACCATTTCCCAAAGGTATGGAAAGTGTATGGAAAAGTGTGGAGGTGGGGTGGGAAATGGGGGTGAGAGGTTACAGATCCCTTTGGGGTGAGTGGAATACCAGTATATGGGGGAAGCCCTGGCTGAATTTCATCTCTCAAACATTACTTAAAGTATTGCTGCAAGAAAGCAAGTTCCTGAATTTATTGCTAAGTAATGGGCATGTTAGAATAACGTGGCCTTTTTTCCCTCAAAGGGATAGATTTTATTTCTTTTTTCCCTCAAAGGGATAGATTTTATTTCTATGTAAAGGGCTTGGATCACAAGTTTTGAGACCATGGCATTGCACCAGTGGTTCTTTAGTATCAGCTTGTTTGTCTGTCTCTGATAAAGAAGACAGTACTTTCCCTGGTGAGCATGGCATGTAGGTCCTTTGAACTGTATTTATTGTTCGACTCTTTGCAGGTATCTAATAAACAAAGGAAGGAGCAGCAGCGGCTGGAGAAGAAGAGGCGACAAGAAGAAAGGCACCGTCAGAAAGCCTTGACTAACAAGAGTAACAATGCAAATAACAACCGGAATGAGACAGACTCAAACACGCAGGTCACTCTAGTGAAGGCCCTTGCGGCTGTGAATATTTGACTGTGACCGTGTTTAGGCCTCTTTGCAAATGGGAAACAGAATCGAGGAGGAAGAGTAGTGACACTTGAGAGAAGGCCATACTCTTCAAAACAAATTTGTGGGCATCCACTCATAGTCTCTGCGTGCTAAGTCTTTTTTGGCTTTCTACAGCTACAGGAAGAGCAACCTGGGGACATTAGAGAACATTTGCCAGTGAGTGAGGGATGGTCAAAGCTTAACAAAGTGAAAATGTGGAGGTGGTTCAGTGAACGTTGAGCCGTCTCCCTATATACCTGGCATGAGATTTGCTTTCAAGCATGGAAGAATACTTGTTTTAAGTTACTGTAAAGGGGAGTGTTAACTGTTTTCAGCTGAGGAATACACTTTCCCATTTTCTCTCTCTCTTTCTTTCTCTCTCTCTCTCTCTCTCTCTTTAAAGTGACTGGAACAAACTTCTGGAATCCTTTCCAAAACCGAAACTATCAGCCAACCACTATAGCAAAATATGTAAGATTTGTCATCCCCTGTGCCCCACACCATAACTGAATGGCAAGTTGTAGTTTGGATAGAGCTGCTCTTGCTTTTGTTCCACTAAGCCATTTGCTAAATGCTGCTGACTGTTTTAGAGGTGATTTGTACCTGGAGGCGAATTGGGCTGGCTGGATCTGTGATATTTTTGGCACAAAGTGAGTGTAGAAGAAATCTGTGGGCACCCTGATCTGCTAGCAATGAAGCCCCTCTTCTCTGACAATATTACTTGCATAAAATGAGGGGGGAGACTCGTGTACTCTTTGATTGCAGAGTTGATTTTCCCCATCTAGTATAGTCTAATGAGGTAGTACTTGATGCAGCAGACATGAGATTTCTATTAAGTGCTAGCAAAAATGTGCTGGTTTTTAGACATCTGGAATTTCATCCTCTGCCTCATGCATTGAGGGCTGGAGTCCAAATAGGGAACTTGACTGTCTTCAATCTCCAAATTAAATTCTTCTAGCCAATGGCTCAGAAGTCCTGGGGACAAGCTTCCAAGTAGCACTGATTGCTGGGAAATTTGCCCAATTCACTCCTCATAAATCAAGCTTTTTCCAGGATAGGATTTTGTAGCTTAAATTCCTCTTAGATAAGATCACCAAACACCATGAAGTATAATTGATCACTAGAGTCTAATCTTGTGGTATTTTCCTCTATATGAGTGGGAGTTTGGCCTAAAGTAAAGGTTGTGGGATTTGGTCCATGATACATGATGGCTTATACTATCAAACATCAATCAAGTTCCTGGACTTGCATGAAGAACTAAGTTAAAAAAAAAAAGAGAGAGACTGAGAGAGGAGACACCCTATTACTCAAAGTAAAGCTTAATGAAAACTTCCATGTGAGGGAGGATTCTTTTAAGGTGAGCATATGTGCCTTAGAGCCCATATCAGTACTGGAATATGTGTGGACTTAATACTTTAAAAATGACCCTTTTGACTGAACTGCCAAGACCTGAGTTAGCAGTTCTTGGTTTCCTCTGCTACTGTGTAGCATTTGAAACAATCAAAGAAATGGACCTGGCCTATAAGTATGAGCAATGTTGAATAGGGCTGGAGAAAAACAAAATAGCCCTGTGGGCTTGGAAGCTAAAATGCCTTTGGGTTCCTCTCTAAAGAGCTGGCAGTAGTGTATACAATAGCAAACAGACCAGCTGCTCAGAGATGCATCTGACATGTCAAAAAGTCCATTATTTTCAAATCAGTCTTAAATGCTAGTGCCAGCCATCATAAAAATTTCCTTTGGCAAGAAACCTATGAGCAGTATTTGTTAGCTGTAAACAATATGAATAGGCCCTAAATTCACAGTACCATTGAAGTATAACAAGGTTTGTACAAAGCTTTTGAGGGGTTATAGTGGGAAATTTGGTCTCCTGAGTGGATCTGTTCTCATGGATGCTGATTTTGGGAGTAGAGGAAAAGGTATTAAAATATGTGGGGAACAAAATGTCTTTGGACTTGGTCCATCTTGGATGGTGCACTTTTAAAACTGTGAAAACATGGATAATAGGTGGTCCTATTTTTCTAGCTGAATGGGCCAGTTGTTGCATAAAGAGAGGGTGCTACGTTTAGGACTCTGGGGCTTTGCTATTTCCTGACCCGTCCAAAGATTAGAAGTCTTTGTTTACTTGTCTACAGGCTTCACAAACTCCAGAAGTGGTTATGAATATCCATCAGCATTGTGCCTGGATGTACTACTTTCCTATCCTAATGCCTAGTGAGTTGGATGCTCAGAGGTTGGGGAAAGCTTGTAGTTAAGTGGATGTCACCAGTGTTGTGACATTGACATAAATACAATGAAGAAAATAGCTTAGCAAGATGCTACTTCCAGTTGCATAGTAGGGGGTAGTACCAGTTAGTTTTGTGCCACCCTGTTTTTATATTGAGATGGGAGACTGGTCCTGTAAATGACTAGATAAATAATATAGGCCTAAGTAGCAGTGCTAGTTTGCTTGTTGGCCAGTTAGGAATTGGATGTTCGGGTATCTTCTATGAATCACATTGCTTTTCTTGAGCCAAAGCTGATAAAAGGATTACTTGTTCCACCAGCTTGGGGTGGGGGGGTTGCGGAGATAATTGTGCTCAAAGGAGATATATTCACTGGGTGACAAAGTTCCTATCATAAACACACAAGTTGCCTTCACAACCAATTCTGCAAAGCCCAGCTCTGTTCTGGAAGACACTGCCTTCTGTGTAGTGGTGTCAGGTCTTTGCTAGAGGTGGGGAGAGAATCACACCTTTGTTTGCTTATTTAGGGTATCTGAAACTGAATATGCAATTGAAAATGCTCTAATCTGATGTGTAAATGGATTAAACGAGCTCTTATTGTACTGGGCTGATATTCCTGTTAGAGTAGCCACATTCTCTTCTTGAGTCCATGCCAAGGAAAACAGCCTTGCCCTATGTGAGAGACCCAAAGCTTTGTGCTGGCTGTGGTTCAGGCTCCTGGTTTGCCTGACCTTTCTGATTTGTATCTTTTTGGGGGCATCCCTGTGCATAGTTTCTCTGGGAACTCCTTTTCATGAATGGAAATTTGGGATGATAAACTATGTTCTCTTATTATGGTGCTTGAGTTTCAGTTCCCAGGTAGGCACTAGATACCACCTCCATCCTGAATAGCCTGCTGCTTGGGCATCTTCGGGTTTGTCAAGGTGGCTACCTTGTATAAAATTCAATAAGACTTGATATTAGCTGGGGGCTAGATAGTTCAAGATTTCATGATGACATACGGAGACTTCCAGTTCTCAGGCTTTGAATACAGGGCCAGTTTTATCAAGCAGGTGGCTCTTTAGTGGCAGACTGGAAGGAATAGTTTTGGAAGCCTGCTAGGCAGGTAAGATTGCTGCTGGCACTTGAAAGCTAGAGGCTGAGTGGTTATCCTTGGACCCTGATGTTCTCCTTCCCAAACTATCAGAAGCCCATACTATTTGTTTGTGCTATTCCTGTTTTTATGTACAGAAACGCTTCAGTGGTGGAGGTCTGCATAACTCCCTGCATCAGTGGAGCTGCTGCCTAACTTTGCCAGTTGAGAATCTGTCCCATTTTCTCCAGTGCAACACCCATCTAAATAGAAAATATCTCTGAAGCCAAGAGTTAATTGAAAGTAAAGCACCTTGGTCACATTCTGACAAGTTAGGGGAGTTGCACAGATGCAACTAAACTCTTCAGGGTTTGCTGTGTGAAGGAAGGTGCTCCCCCTATTTCTTGCACTGCCTATTCTTGTGTTTCTGACAATACCGTAATTCTCTGCAGAGGACAGTCCATTCATCTGTTGACTTCTCAGCAGCCTTACCTCATATACAGTGCCTGACTATCAGAAATTTCATGTGATCTACAATGTTTGCATCCATAGCAGTGCTCCAGATGCATCTCATTTTCCCCTTGGATAAGCTGAATGACAATTTTTCTCTTCCTTCCCAGCTCAGAGCACTCTGCAGGGATCATGCCTCAATCATCAAACCAAATGCCAAATACTCGTTTTGTTTTTTAAATACTTAGTGCAATAGAAGCTGCAAAGATGTGCCATTTGAATGAGACGAGAGTTTTGTATGTTGGATGGACTATAGAACAAAGATTAAACTTTGATTATTTTACTAAGAGACTTGGCTCATTCATTTTGTTGATTTGAACGACATGGGTGTGTTGGTGACTGCAACCTGAATCTCTCGCCATTATTAACATCCCTATTGCAGCTCCTAATTCCCTCGCAGTCTTCACTGTCTCAAAGCAACACTCCTGTGAGGTTAGGGAAATGCTAGATTCCCTGTTTTAGATATAAAGGGACTGAGGCCTGAAGAGATGAAGACCCAGATTTAGGGGCAGAACTTGGGCACCTAAGCCCTAAATTTAGGTACTGTAGTTGGATCTCCTGCTCAGTTGCTGCCTAACATTGGAGGCATTTGAAATCTTTGTAAATGCCTAGTTGTTCAACATTTGAAGTTCCCCAGCTGCCTAAACTTCTGCTGCTCAGCATGTCCAGCAAAATTTCAGACTTAACAGCAGCTCAGTGCCTGTTTAAAGGTTGCAGGTTCAATCCCTGTAAACTAGTAGTTCATCCTGCTATCTTGCCTGAGTGGACCAACTCTGATAAGCAATCTCGGGGCATGTTTATTAGGTCAGGCTTTCTGTGAAATAAAGGGGCACTGTAAGTGGAGGTGACAATACTCCTTTTTTCTCCAGTAGCTGAAACACCACTACAGAACGTGGGAATTTTGGGTTTCATTCTTTTGTATGCCTGAGAGAGAGAACAAGAATAAGCATGCATGAGTCAGGTTGCAGTTTAAGGTGCTCATTTGGTGTTTCCATCCCAGAGCCAAGGACTGCAGTTCCTTGCTCCCAGGTGAATACCTCTGAGCAGTATTAGAAATGGAAAGCTTAGTTTAAGTCTATCCCCACCATGCAGTTGGTCCAATAAAAGGTAACACCCACAAAAATCCTTGCCTCTTAACACTAATCCCTTTTCAAACTGTTCTGTATGGGAAATGACAAGCCTTGTAAATGAATCCCAGTGTTTTTTCTGTAGTTGCACCTAGGACAGCCCTACCCCTCCCAACAAGCTGTTGAACACAAAGGAAATGGAGCAATACGTCTCTCGCCTGTTGTCTTTTTGAGTCGCATGTTTAAACACACTTTATTGGCCCTTTTGAACCAAATGAGAGAGTGACATAGATGAGGGAGTCTACCAGTGTTGTTTTGCATCAAACTTCATATCCTGTATTGGCCATGTCAACAGCAATGTCATGCGCAAAGGAGGAAGGGCCCCCAAAAGCTTATCCAACAGCTCTCCCAACTACCGAAAAAGCGTTGCCCCTCATGGCTCAAAAAAATAAAAATAATGAGGCTTAATATATCTTTTTGGTTCTTGGCATTTTGCCCTCCTGTTTCTTTATTGTTAGGAAGGCACTCAAATCATGTATGCAATGTTTTTTAATATTGGAACCAAGGTAGAAAATAATTATCTTTTTAACTGCAAGAGCTGGAGCTTAAGAACGCTACTGCCAGATCTGGCAACACTACTTACATACATGCTTTATCTGCTTATAAAGTTGGGGGGACTCGGGCATGCACTTAAGTACAGTTTTTATAGGGGCATCAAGTTGCTTGTTTGGCTTGCTTTGATTTGCACTGTTTAACTCTTCAGTTGCTGTGCTATTACCTAAAGTGAGAGGACTGGAGTCTTGCCTCACTTAAGAAAGAACATAAGAATTGTCATTTCCTGGGTCAGACTCAGACCAGAGGTTCATCTTGCCCAGTATCCTATCTCACAACAGCAGAAAGTGGATGCTGGAAGGGAGAGTGAAGTGCATATAACCAGGGTTTTTTTCACTGTTTCTCTCTCATTTGCAGCCTCCCGCATTTAAGGTTTAGGAGGTTCTGACTCAGAGGCTGCTTTCCTAACTCCTGTGCTCAGTAGGTACTACTGAGGGAGGTCCTTTTCCTCTGCATGTCAAACACTAGAGGGCAGTTCAGGATTACTCTGCTCTAGCAACAGCATTGTCTGTTCTTTCCGAGGTGGTTTTACACCAGCCACGCTCACGGCTTCTGCTAACCCAAATGATGTCGGACTCTCAGGAGCTGTCTCGAACACCTGCAGAGGGGTCACTGCTGTTCATCCTGATCTGTGTAACACTGAGATTGCATCAGATCCATGAGGTGAAAACAGGTTTATTATTCAGAAGGGATTAACATGCCAGTGTTTTGAGGCATGACTACAAAGGCCCAGTGTCTTCTAAGCCTATACTTATTATTGACATCCCTGTAGTGCTTAGACACTTGACCGTGCTCCACTTCCTGTGCAAACAGAGCAGAAGACAATCTCTGCCCTGCAGAGTTTGCAGTCTGAATGGACAGGCACCAGAAGCAGTGCTTGGATCTCTTCAATCCCAGTTTTGTGTCCTTCCACCACTGGATTAAACCTTCTGTCCTGTCTGACATAGTGGAGAGTTTAGTTAAGCTGTAGGCACACCCAAAACTTTGTGTAACTATTGACATTGTGGAAAGTCAATATAAAATGCTGCTAAGTCCAAGTAGTAGCATTTTAGAGGCACTTGACACCGAAGGGACCTCCAGTGTTGTCAAGCCTAGTTTTCTGTTACCACAGGTAACTATGCCCCATCATAACTTCCTTATATATTTACCAAGCTCCATTTCATCTAGGTGCACTATGCTTACAAGACCCTGCAGATGATTCCCTGTCTCACCCAAGATTTAGCGGGCCTTGGACTTGAGGGGACTTCCTGGGTCACTGAGTCTAATCACCTGCTCTTGTAGGCAACAACACTGTGTAGTCCCCCTCATGTACTGCTTGAGCTCCGTCTTATCTGTTTTCTCCACTACTACTATTTAAAGGCAGTTCCAGAACTTTACTCTTCTGATAGATAGAAACCATCTTATTTCCAGCCTAAATGTATTTGTGGGCAGTTTATTCCCATTTTCTCTCATGCCAACATTGTCCTTTAGTGTCTGCAGCTCCACATGGCCTATCTCCCAAACTCTGTTAACTACAGCCTGATCTATAACATGCCGACTTGCTGCTAATAAAGGGCTGCAATATTGCTGTTTTGTTAGATTATTAAGCAACTAGCAAATAGCATCTTCACAATGTGCCTTAGCAGGTTGTGTTGACGTTCAGCATTGTGAACCTAGGAGGTGAGACTTTGTATTCAAATCAGCAATGCAACTCTTCCGTAAGTCTATATGCAGAGGTTACACAAACAAGAGGGGAGGGATTAGGTTAGCCATGCAATCACCTGGTTACTAAAGGACTCTCCCAGGCTTCATGCTATGTTGATAAATAGTTGCGTTTCCACTAGATTTATATTCCTAGTTTTGCTTGCCTTGTTCTCGTCAGTTAAGCATTACTAATAGCAGTTTGTGCATATGACACTGGGGAGATGGGGAGCAGAGTGCCAGTAATGATTTCTGGTCTGATTCTGTGCCTTTTAAAGTCAGGTGGAGCTTTGACATTGATTTCAGTAGATTCATGGCATTTGCAAGCATCATGCCTTTAAAAGTGGTGTAGCTCAATCAGGTTAGCATCAGAACAGGAAACTGGGTGAGACAACTTGGGGGATTGGTCTATGTACCACTTGTGAGTTTGGGTTGATATCAAGTTGTTATAGTGAAATGATTGTGAAAGTGTTGGGTCGTATACTGCCCCTGTGGATGTGGCGTTAATTCTTTGCTATGAGGACTGGTTCACCAGCTGTTTGCTAAGCCATAGTGGTTGCCTTGCGAACACTGTACCGAGTTTGCTGGACTGGGAGCAGCTAGTTCTTTCAACTTCTCTGCAGGAGGTGGAGAGCAGAAAATCCTCTACCAGTAGGGCTCCAGCTTACCTGCAGAACCAGCCAAGGTCAGAGCAAGCTGTCTTGAAGGGAGGCAAGCGACTCTGGCTTATTAGATTTGAGAGTTATTGTTGCTTTACCATCTTAACCTAAGGACCCTTAAATATCACCTTCCAAGTGACTAATCAATGCCGACTTGTTTTGAAAAGGCTCACTGTGTTGCTGCTAATGCATCCTGGTGGCACTGCTCCCTACAGTCTCGGGAGAGGGTAAGTCTGAAGTCACGTGGACCCCTTGGAGAGCTGAGGATGAGACAGAGAGGTGAAGCTGGAGCGCCCAGTTTTGGAAAACAGTCTGGTCAGGCTAGGCCACAATACTATACAATAAAACCAGTCAGTGCAATTATAATGGGCTAAAGTGTGTCCAGATGGGCATGAAGGGAGGTTCCCGACCGTATTAAGCTAACTCAGCTGAGCTTATTGGATTTTACAGCCCTTTTCTCATGATGTAGGTGGAAAGATTCCTCCAGAACATAGTTAATCTCCTCAGCCCATTCTTATGCCCAATCATTGTACTTTGGGCTCAATCTGTCAAGATCAGTCAAGCTGTTTTCTTCAATTCACTTTGGATCAGAGCCCTGAAACAACCTGATAGTCCACTTCTGCATGGACTTTTCTCACTTTATAGTGGCAAACTCATAGACGTACCCACAGTTTCTATGAATAATCTTTCCCAGATGGTCTGAAATGAAAGTTGGCACGGAAAGCAAACCTCCTTTCAAATATACAGCCAGACAGGTTGGATGTCTTCCCTTTGGGAAAGGGGGACACTTTGTTCCATGAGGTAAGAAAGGACAAAAGCTTGAAATCACATTAAAGTTTGTTTCCAATAATTCACCAGCAGTTAAGCGACAAGGTGTGGGACGTTCATGCCCATTCAAATGTTGATTGTCAGCAACTGAAAGTTTTGTGGTTACTGTTTAGAAGCTGCTCTAATAGTAGGAACAGGTTATGCCTGTGGTTACAAGTTCAATACCCATTCTGGAAAGTCCAGCCCCCTTCACTGGGCTGTGAGTCAGAACAATGGAAAGGAAAGCCACTGGGGGGTCTTAGCAAGAGGGAGTTTCTCCCTTGCATATAAAGTCTGGGTCATGGTTATATTTTGTGTTGTAGGTCTTGGCAGCCTTTTGGAAACATGCTGCAGCAGTTTTGTCACACTCACAGATCATCTTCTCGCAGCTTTTCCAGGCTGAAAAGTAAAACAGCAGGGAGTCAAGAGAACAGTATAGGAGAGCCAAGAGGAAATGGAGTAGGATATGTCCTGTCTCTCCATAGGCTCTAGTGGATTATGGATCACCCCTGGCCTGGCAGTGGAACTGGTAGTTGATGGAAGTGGCCATGGTGATCTCCTGGGGTGCCAACGGGAGGGATCACAAACCCACAGCTAGTCCCAGGGCTTCTGCAGGTGACTTCCTCTCTGCTACTGTTGAGAAGACTGGAGTGAGAGAGGTGCTCTTCTTTGCACTAGCTGAGACCCATGCAAGAGCTCAAACCAGCTAGGTCTTATACCGCCTCCATGCAGAGAGGAAATTTTCACTTTGAGTGCACTGTCCGAGCCAGTGTAAGCATGGGCCTGTCATTTCGATTCTTTTTGCTGCCCTGGACTGCTGTGTATGCAGCACCATCCAAATGGCCTAGGTGAGCCCTAGACAAAAGAAGCTGAGCATCAAGCCAGAGATCACTGTGCTGCACAGCAAGGTAGATCCCACATGTTAATAAACGTTCCTGCTGGACAGCTTTAGAGTCATGCTAGAAGCATTTCCTGGAGCGCCACCAAGGCAGTCTGTCCTGAGGTTTGGGGAAAATTCAGCTCAGTGCACTGAGCAAGCTTATGTCCTATTAAGTTTTTAAAACTACGTGTGTGTGGTGTGGTCCTTTATCTGGTCCCCTGGGATCCATTTCACCCTTTGGGAGTCTGGTTTCTCTTTAACCTTCAGCCTAAAATCACAGTCAGGGCTTGAGCTGCCAATGTCCTGTATCCAGCCCCATCTGGTTATTAACCAATGAGTTAATGTTTTCCAGCATGCTGGTCCAAGAGATGCCCAAGAAAATCCCTCACATGGTCTCTGTGGATGGTGATGCCATTCAGTTAGTGACCTTAACTTCACACTCTTACTTACTGCAGGTGATGTCCTCCTTGATGGAATAAAAATAGATGTCCAGTTTTAAATTACAGCCAATCTTAGAGGCCTTTGTATAGCAGCAGTCATGGGCATGGCAGCACCTTATGTGAAAAAAGCTGGCATTCGTGTAGTGCTGAGTGGTGGCAGGGAGGATTATTACCATCTGCTATTCTTTTTCCCTCTTCTACTTTCTGACTGAAATCAGAACCTCTCTGTGCTTGGAGCTGTACACGTAGGATCAGATCCTATTCCAACTCTTAAACGGCTAAGCTAATCCTCTTCCCCCTTCCTTGAGTCCCTGAAAACCATTAATTTATCAAGGTCACAAAAAGCAGCAAAGAGGAGAAGCAACCAACCTTCATTTGCTTTAGCAGTTGTACAGGAGCTTGAGTAGGATGAAAGGAGATTGCAGTTAGATACTTAAGTCCACGGAGGCACCTAAAAGGACTAGATTATACCCCAATGACCTTTCAGACCAGAGGATATCTTCCTCGCTGAATAGTTTAGTGATTTCCAATCATGACTAGTAGTGAAACTGCAGTTCCTATACCCCATTACCTTTCTTGTTCTACAGAACTATAGAAAAGGGAGAAATTAGATATGACTCACTATTCGGTTTACAATCAGGGTGAACTTGTGATTGATTTCCTGTTTCTGGATGTTAAGCTAATATTGAGTGGTTGATTAAATAGCCCAAGTGCTATGTGCATTCCTATGCATAGAATATACATGGCATAACAATGGGGAATTAAATACCATGACTTCAAATCTGTTGATAGAGCAGCATTATAATTAGTCAGAGATCATTAGAGTGTGAGTTATGGGTACCAGACTATTTTAAAAGAAACAGTGTAATGATGCTTTGTGAGCATCTGACAATTTTCATTTAAGGATTTCAAAGCTCCTTATGTCAGCATTAGCCTTATTTTACCCATGGAGAATTTATTGTAAAGAGATATTGTTTCTCAGTGGGAGATTCAGCTGTCTTGACTCGGGTTCCCTGCTCCAACCACTTGTCCAGGCTGCCTCCCCCAAGGGTTTTGCTCAGGGTTTGAGACAAGGATAGTGTGGGCTCTGATGAGCAGCGGTAGCAATTGTCCCTGCTTCCCAATCAGTCTCATCTAGGGATTGTTTGGTTCCTTCAAGGCCACTGTAGCATCCATAATGGAGATGAGAGAGTGGAGAGTTTCCCAGTGCTTTTCCGATGAGGTCTGCAAACTGGATCAGGTTACTGCATGCAAGTGGGAGGACTGCAATCAGAGCCAGGGATTGTTAAGCAGTCTGGAAAGAACGCAGTCCTGCCTCTCTAATCAGGCTGGAGGCAGAGACCAAACAACCTACCGGTGCTCTAATCATAGACCTCACCCATACGTCCCCCCTGCCCTTGCTGTCTACAAGTTGAGTCCTGATGCCCTCAGGTCAGGAGGGCACTGATGTGCTCCACATTTGATGGTCTCGACATCATTAAGGGATTCAGTTAAAATAATGTTCTGACTTCATGATGCCAAAGGTGTGAGGCCACCATTACACTGTGGTCTGTCTAGAGGCTTGGTTGGACGCAGTATATTCTCCAAATAGAACATAAATAAGAAAGATAAAGAGCCAGAGGGAGGCAAGGTAACTAAATGGAGGTCAGGTCACACAGTAGATAAGTCACAGAGCTCAGCTCTCCTGAGTCTCACCTGAGTGCCCTATCACAGCTGCCAGCAATTCATTACTTTTGAAATGATGGGATTTTCCAGGTAGCATTAGGCTTTTATAGAAGAATCTGGAGAGTTAAAAACAAACTGCCGGTTCTCACGTTTCCTTGCAGCATAAGGAAAGGAAAGTAACGGCATATGGCCCCTTCATTTTGGGTGCTTCGTGTCTAGTAACAGACAGCTCTAACATGAAACCCCAGCACACTAAGTGTGTTAACCCTCCTTATTTTGCTTATTATATACACACACATTACAGCTTCACCTCCCCTTATTACATGCAAAAGGATATACAAATATTTACAAGTCTCAAACAAGCATGATTATTATATAGTGATACCTCTGGGGGTAATCTATTGCTCTTGCTTCAGGCATTTAAGCCTGGATTTTTAGAGGAATTGGTAGCTTAGCTCCCACGGACATCCACCCCAGTGTGGGGGTGAGTATAAATAACGCTAAAAAAATCCCTGTTATAAAGTGGAGAATTGTGTGGAAGTTGAGCTTTTTCCTTATTTTGAGACTCAGAAGTGGGCCCATTTCCCCAGAAAAATTGATAAAGTATAAAGCGAAAAGGGTGCGTTTTCCAGGGTAAATGTATGACTTTATGAATCAAAAAGAGTTTCCATGAGCCAGGGTTTCATGCTTTCATGTCCAAGCCTTACCTGCAAAATATACAAGTGCTTGAGCCCAAGAAAGCAAGACAAAGCCTGCAGTGATGTGTGGGGAATAGGTACAGGCACCTTTAGCTGGCACCTGTGCGCACTCTTTAAGCCTCCTTGAGGTTCATGCTATTACACACAGCTGGGTCACTTTGCTGTTGCCAAAGTTGCTGCAGGTGGGAATGCAGCAATTCAAGAGGAAACAGGAGGGGGTTTTTTGTCCCTGAAACGGTTCATCTGCTGGTTTGGTGGAAAATGTTAAGCAGTATCTTTTTCTTTTTGTATGTCTCCACCTGCCCAAGATGAAAACTGAGCCTATATGAAGGGTCAGGCCTCAGCTTTCTGTACCCAGGACAGCAAAGCGAGCCAGAGCAACAAACCACAGAAAAGGGCGGATGGTAACCACAGAAATCAGCCCACTCTTTACTGTCTATTCCAGAGGTCTCTGTTCCAGTGACCCCCGACACTGTGGGTAACCAAGAGTAGGAGGGGGGTCTCTAGACACTATACAAAAGTTTGGGGTTTTTTTGGTATTTCAGCAGCAACTCAATCAGCTCAGGCTCCCATGGTTTTGGGTTCTGCACAGACATGGAACAGAGTGGGAAAAAATTCAGCTCAACTGGCCATGCTGGAGTGCACAAAGAGGGGTCCAGCTCCCTTTTATTTAGAAGTAAAATGAAGGACACAGAATGATAAGCAAAGCACATGGAAACCAAGCTGTAGTCAGTATGGGAAACAGTAGAGAGCTTCCTTCATCACTCCTATGAGACTGCTACTTATCCAAACAATCCCTAGTCACCATCTTAATACTACTTTTAGCACCCTTTAGAGCAAAGCTGAGGTCAGAGCTGTGTTGTGCAAGATGCTGTATTAATGCAGCACTCCAAGAGATAGTGCCATGCAGTCTAAATACTCAAGCAGACAAAGGTAGGGAAAAGGGAGGATTATTTTCTCCCCATTTTACAGGTGGGTAAACTAAGCAATGAGCTACCTTGCCCAAGATCATATAGGAAGTCATGAACAGAGCCAGAAATAGAACCCAGTCCCGTGCCTCCAACATATTCCCTCTCACTGTACGAGCCATTGTCCAGAGATCATTCTCTTTTGGTCCGGTGTATGGTAATCAGACAGTGAAGGTCAATCCAGTTCATTATTCATAAGCAGTTCTGCAGACTTTTTCTCTACAGAAGAGCTCTCTGAAAGCACAGGCCTTTTATAGCTCCACCCCCGGCACTGGGCTGATTTTTCCTGGGGAAGCGTTGGACAAGGGAAATCTTGTCAGTTAAATGCTCCATTGAAGGACTGGCAGGGACTCAGGCAGCCCCTATAGCACTCAGGTGTGGGTCCCGTGCACTTGCTGTCTCGATAGCGAACAAATCGCGAATTGTACGTGTCCAGGTTTTTCTCCAGGCAGAACACGGCATTCCTGTCGCATGCACAGACCTGCTCTTCACACCAGCTCCCCAAAGCTGCAGAGACAAAGAGAGAAATGCATTCTGCATTGACATTGAGGAAGCCCCGTGATGGGGAAGGCGTCTGACTTCCCAGGCCTGAATTAATACCTGGGCTGTGTGTTGGCAGCATGGGGAGAGTGTAATTGTACCAATCTCCCCCCTCCCACTGTGGAGTATGTCGGAGAGGGTGTCTTTTAGCTCAGCACACCCCAAACTGGAGGCAGTTTTCAGATTTGGGAAGTTTAAAGCATGGAGGCAATTCACTGCCTGCATCGCTTCACAGCAGTCTGGTGAGCATCCACCTGAATGGCCACATCTGGGAAATCCACATGCAGCTGGCTGCATGCGCCTCACCTTACCTATATTGTTGCCCAAGGAACCAAGTCAATAGCATCAGGATCTGAATTAGGACTTTCAAAGAATCAGGGTATTGCAACCCTAGAAGTTACAGGTTATGAATTCACTTCTTTGGTCAATGGCATTTGAGACAAGACAGCTAAAGTCCTTTCAGGTGCCCTGGCCCTTCTTTCTCTACTTCCTTCATTTCTCTGTTTGGATCAACAGACATGCTGCGACTTCTGGCAATCAGGTGTTGAGGTCTCAGAGTGAAAATCACTTAGAAGGGAAGCAGTGGGCTAATTTGACAGGAGAAGCAAAGCAAACTCCCCATTTTTCCAAGGGGAGAGCACTCACCACAGATTATATTCCCATTCTTGTAGGCATAATCATACCGCTTGGTGTTTCCGTGACAGTCACTCTCCTTCAGCTTTTTATAGCAGCAGTTGTGACTATGGCAACACCTCCAGGGAAAAGGAAGGAGAGAGAGACGCATCACAGATCTGCTGACAATGGCAGAAACCCACTGCCACTGCAGCAGGAACACAAGGCCATTGCTTCGTCGGTTGTTGGACTCCCTGTGTGTACGTAGGGTATTCACACTCAATATATGCATTTACTCCTGTTTAAATGTAACTGGACATCAAACCAGAAACACGTGGGGAAGCAGTCAGCAGAAGTGGACTTCTTTGCAGACGTCATTAAACCTCTCTAGGGGTTTTCTGTCACTTTCATTTCCTGGAAAGGACCTTGGCCAATAAACCTTACTTCACTTTATAGCGATA